TGGGTCAAAAGACAGTAAGTTCTCCCTGGGGCCCAGGAGAGAGTTTGCAGCCCTGTTTCTTCCTGGTTGATGCTGATGTTTAGGCAGGTATGGAGACTAGATGCTGATGAGCATGCCCCATGGGGAGCGAGTGGGGATGAGCGGCCGTGAGGGCCACCACAGGCGCAACTCAAGGCTTTGGGGCTTTGGGCTGATTGCGGACTGGTGCTCCTGACACTGACCTTCTGGGCCAGGAAATGTGCTCTCTGAAAAATCAGAGCAGGCTGTGTGCAGCCTCACCCAAACCGTTGGGGTTTAGAGCTGTAGAGAGAAGTCTTCCAAGAAGCACAGATGCCACACGCGGAGGAGAGCACACTGGAGCACACACTCAGAGCCCCGAGGGCCTGTGTCTCTTTTGGCAGTAAACTGACTGTCCCTGGGCCTGTGTCAGGGGACAGGAAATACCTAGAGCGAGTCAGGAACGAGGCCTTTATGTCCCAGCTCCCGTCTCCTGTCTGGTGGGCTGTGGTTGGTCGGTCCAGGCCGACGTCCTGCAGGGCCACGGTAGGGAAAGCATTTCCTGTCCATGTGCTCATGGCCCCTTGTCCCTGTTTGCCTGGGGGGTTACCACAAATGGCCCCTCTGTGGTTCCTTCTGTCCCTGTGAGCCTGGAAAGGGATTCTGACCCCTCCCTCTTTACGGGACATGCGAGCGTCCCTTAGGTCCCCTTCCCTAGTCAGGAGCCCAGCAGTGATGAGCGTGTTTCCTGTGGCCCAGGCTGAGCATCTTCCAGTCACACCGTCTCTTTGCAGACCCCGAGACCCACTATTACGCTGTGGCCGTGGTGAAGAAGGGCAGCAACTTCCAGCTAAACGAGCTCCAAGGCAAGAAGTCCTGCCACACCGGCCTTCACAGATCCTCGGGCTGGAACGTCGCCATCGGCACACTTTACTGGCAATTGCCCGAGCCACGTGATCCTGTTGAGAAAGGTGAGCGAGCAGGAGGGTGAGCGCCTTCAGGCAGATGTCCCTTCTTTTGGTGCCTGCACAGGCCACACTGCTGTCACTCAGACGTGATCAGGTGATCATGTGTGACGACTCTTGGGGTGGAGGTGGGAGTTACCCAGCTTTATTTATTTATTTATTTATTTATTCATTTTAGCTGAGCCATCCTGCCACCTGTTGGCAGCTCAGCAGCAGCTCAGCTCAGGCCGGGAATCAAACTGGCAACCTTGTTGCTCAGAGCTCACACTTGAGCGAGTTCTTAACCAACTGAGCTACTTGGCTGGCCCATGGGAGTTACCCAGCTTAAACTTGTCAGGTCTGCTGCACCAGCAGCCCTTGGGAAGTGTCAGCTGTCTTTTGTTGTCTCAGCTCCCAACCCCCCAGCAGGGGCTCCTGAGGAGTGGGGGGAGGGTCATCAGGCCTGAGAGGGCTCAGGCAGGGCCAGGATTGTTGGGCCCCATTGCCCACTCCTTGGGGTGCTTTCCTCTCTGGCTGATGTGTTCCCTTTCTGCTGGAGCTTTCTCTGGTGGCCGCCCCTCTCCAGGCGGGTGTCCCCTCTCCCAGGCGTGGCTTCCAGGGGAGAACTCTCTCTGAGCTTTTCTGGTCTGACAAGGCAGGGAGGGGAGCTGACAGCCACCTGTAACAGGCCTTGGTTGGTGGGGTGCGTGGTGGGAGGATAGAGGTTAACACATCCTTTTTTGGAATCCCTTGATCCTAAAGAAAGAACACACGTGCAGGCAAGCTGGGCCTGGCGAGCTGGGTTTGTTCCGGTCCCTCTCTGAGGCCCCCTGAGCCTGGGCTGGGAGCTGTCATTGCCTCTGGCCAGGCTGGCTCATACCCTGTGTTCCCTGTCTCTGTGTTGAGCAGCAGTGGCCAATTTCTTCGCGGGCAGCTGTGTCCCCTGTGCAGATCAGACGGCCTTCCCCAAACTGTGTCAACTGTGTGCTGGGCAAGGGACAGACAAGTGTGCCTGCTCCAACAGCGAACCATACTTCGGACCCTCCGGTGCCGTCAAGTGAGTGAGACCGGCCGCTGCTCCACAGTAGCCAAAGCGTTCAACGTCCTCAGGCTAGGAGTCCCTCCCTGGGTCACAGCAGAGCCCATCATGCAACAGAGGTGTTCAGGAGGCCTAGTCCCCTCACAGTGACTCAGTGATTCTGCTGGGACTCCCTAGGCCAGTTCAGCGCCTTGTCCCTTCATGTGACATTGATAAGGAAACCCGTCTCCTGGGGACTCTCTGTCTCCCCAGGGCCCGTGAACCTGGTCAGTGTGTCCTCTCACTGGATTGGGCAGAGGCTAAGGGGACAGACATTTCCTAACGTCCAAGCAATTCTTCAGGGGCTGACCCTCCGCTTTCTACTGCAGCAGCGTCACCTGCTCAATGCACTGACTTCTTGCGCCCCCTGATGGCCTTGGTGCAGACGGCCCATGTGGCCCGTTTCTTGCTTCTTTTTCCCTTGGTTATATATATCCCAAAGTTTTATAGCCAGCTAAGGGCACCTCTCTTTCCTCAAGAGATACTATGTCCTTATCATTCATTTCAGAAGTGTGGAAACTCTTCTCTGTACTAAAACATCTTCAATGCCTTTGTCCTGCTTCCAGGGGACCTCTAGCTCCTGTGAACTCATTCCCGCCCCCCCCCAGCCCCCATCGGTGGCACTCTGGATATCAGCATCACACGGTGCTTCCTCTACTGTGGGTCTGCACAGAGACCTCCACTGGACTGTCCCCTTGTCCCAGAGCGGGACAGTGTGATCAGACCCTGAAGCCTGAGGAAAAGGGCCTCTTCTGTAGAAACTCTCCTAATGTATTTCTTCTCACAGGTGTCTGAAGGATGGTGCTGGGGATGTGGCCTTTGTCAAGCATTCAGCAGTACTGGGTAAGTGACAGAAGAGCTCACAGATCCCCTCCAAGCAGCGGGCCATCTCTTTTTCCTGCCTCCTTTTTCATGCTCAGTAGTCAGACATGAGTGTAGGGTGCCCCTCCTTTATCATTGCTTGGGTTTCTACCTATGCAGAGGTATGTGCCTGTGGGGTCCCCTCCTGGACTCCTGGGCCTGTTTTCATCATTCATTCTCCTATGTACGGGGACTCTTCCTCCTGGTCAGTGTTGCCAGAGCGAAGGATTTGGGGTAGGTCTGGCCAACCTTCACCTGTAGTTGGCCTGCTGAGATGAGACCAATTGTGGTGTGTAGGGCAGTCACCTCTGCACTGGGTATCAGAAACTTCCTTGCCTGTAACTGGCTGTGTGATCTTGAGCAAGTCAGTTTCTTTAAGTTCTCTGGCCCTCAGTGCTCACTGCATGTGTCTCAGCTCACACACTTGATGATTCAGTGGGATTGCAAGGGATGGGGCAAGGTGGGGGCCACAGGTGATGGCTGTACCTGCAGTAGGTTCATCTGGGCTTTCCTCCCCCAGAGAACCTGGCACAACAGGCTGACCAGTATGAGCTGCTCTGCACCGACAACACCCGGAAGCCAGTGGACAAATATGAGGAGTGCCACCTGTCCACCGTTCCTTCCAATGCTGTGGTGGCCCGAACTGTGGGTGGCAAGGAGGACCTGATCTGGGAGCTTCTCAAGCAGGCCCAGGTACCAAATCCAGCATCCTCCCTTCTGCTTAGTGGTCTTTGCTTGGATTGGGGCATTTTCCTTCATTTACTTATTGCCAATGTAGAGCTTTTTGTTTTCAGGACATAGTGGGAACCATGCCACACATCATCCGTTTGTCTAAAAGTACCCAGCAGGGACTCTCCTCAGAGTGGCACAGAACCTAGTCCTGCATTATTGTCTGCCAGACCCCTACATTTGGACCAATGACATGAAGATGCTCATTATTTCTCTATTCCATTTCTTTCCACCTAAATCACGCCTTCTAGGACAAGGGCAAACACCTCCTCCACCAGGAGGCCTTCCATGACCTCCCTAGAAGGAAACCATCTCTCTCCCAATGTCCTTCAGCCTACATGCACAACCGGCTTTACTTCTATAGAGCGGTGGCGTGCCAAAACTGTGCCAACTACCTGTCATCCAGCCCTCCCATCTGTCCTCCCAAGAGTATAAGTGACAACCACACCATGTTGGCCTCTGACAGAGATGCTTCTCCTGCACTCAGTGAGCCAGGAACCCAGCCAGGAAGATATGCACAGAAACACATCCAGGAATATAGGGCGTGGCATATCCCCCAGAGGGCTGTGAGCGGAAAAGGTGATGGGTGGGAAAGAGCAGGTCTGACTGCCCTATTTCCTGGCATCCAGAACATTTCATGGTTTAATTTAGTTTTCTGGGGTTTTTGTTTTTCTTCAGTCCCATGTCACAGCCTACCTTGTCAATGTAGCCATTCACTACTCTTTTGCTATAAACAGGAACATTATGGCAGAGGCAAATCTGCAGACTTCCAGCTCTTCAGCTCCCCTCATGGGAAGGACCTGCTGTTTGAGGACTCTGCCCAGGGGCTTTTGGAGATTCCCTCTAAGATTGACTCCTGGATGTACCTGGGATATGAGTACGTCACTGCTACTAGGAATCTTAGGGAAGAGACACGTAAGTACTTCAAGAATCAGGTGACCTTAGGAGAATGGAAACCTGCCGAGGGCAGGAGCTTGGAAAACTGGTGAGGGCAGGGACCAGTGATAGAGTCTGTCCAGGTACTAAACACCTGCCTTGACATTCCTTTATCTGCTGCCTAGTGTTGGACTGATGCTAAATTGCCTTCGTCATCATGAGATGGGCCTGGATATCACCAAAGGGCATTAAATGAAATTCATGCTTAAAATGACTTGGATTGATACCAGCATTATTTCCCTTGTATAAATCAGGGCTGCCCCACCCACTTTGTGAAGCCAGTTAGCCTAACACAAAGTAAGTCAAAGAGAATGAAATTGTTTCAAATGTGCACATCTAGCTACACCTGGCATCGTGAAGCTGGAGCTGTAGACAGGCCCATCCTTCTCCTGAATTTCCTTGCATCATTGGAGGCTTGCTTGATCATTCATTCCTTCAACAGACATTTATTGGTTTTATCTAGCTATAAACTGTGTAGGTGCTTGGTACACAAATGTGAGACAAGCATATATTAGATTCTGCTATTGTTAAACTTTCTCACTAGTGAAGAAGACGAATGTTCAATGAATAGTCATTCTATTGAAAGCTCAGTTGAAAAGGAGAAATTTACTCCGAAGTAGGCCAAAGGAAAAAAAAAAAAAAACCAGAACAAAATATCATGGTCCTATGAGACCATGACAACAAAGAAAAACAGGTCCTTAAGTTGAGGTAAGGCTTCGTGGAGGAAGTGACTCTTGAGCTGACTCTGAAAGTTAAGTAGGTATCCATTTAGTCAGCAGACATTCATTGTGCTAACCACGAGCCAGGTACTATCCTGGACAATGAGGGTGCTGTGGAGAAAAAGACAGTCCTGGTCCTTGCCCTGCCTGAGCTTATGTTCTACAGGGAACAGACAATAAGCAATGAACAAACAAATAAGAAAAGAACAGCTCAAGTGATTAAGTGTATTTCAAAGAAAAGAGAAAAAAAAATCTGCCCAAAGTGATACAGTGCCCAGGGTTTGGGAGGATGATGGTTTCTCATAAGAAATACTTTTAAGCTAAATCTAAATGATGAGAAGTCAACCAAGAGATTGTTATTGCCTTTTCTTTCTAAGGCGATTAATTTTGAATGGGATCTGTTTGTGTATTGCTGGCCAATCCCAGCATTTTCATGAGGGCGGTAGCATGAACCAGCAGGCAACTTCTGGTGCCTCATCTGAACCCCATTCTCTTTCTTATGCCCTAGGCCTGGATACCGCAAAGGATGTATGCAAGAAGGTGAAGTGGTGTGCAATAGGTCACCATGAGAGGGCCAAGTGTGATGAGTGGAGCGTAAATAGTAAAGGGATAATAGAGTGTGAAACAGCAGAGTCCACTGAAGACTGCATTGCCAAGATCATGGTATGTCACTCCTGCCTCCATAGGGCAGTGGCCCTGCCACTGCTGCATGCCTGCCCCTAAGGCTGAGTGAGTATTCCTGGGAATGATATGGAAACCCAGGCACACAGGAACCTTGCCCTCACTGTGGGAGCCCAGCCCCACAGGAGTACTTTTGGGCTTGCGGATCTGATGGGCTCCTTAGGGCTCCATGTCCTCCTGTGTTAGCACATGGTGGAGGGTAATCTGAGCAGCGTCTGCCCGGGGAGGCTGGACCACTGCGTGGGTGCGTCTGAGCCCCACTGTGTGTCTGAGGCCCATGGTGTGCCATGACGAGGGTGATAGGGCCATGTTGATGGTGCGAGCAAGTAGAGGTTTCGTTTTGATCATCTAAAGAGTATTCCATGTTTGTTTTTAGTTGTTTGAAAATCTTGACCAATATAAAGAAGAAAATAAGAAGTACTTATAAAGGTCTCAGAAAATTCTGTTAATTGCCATCATATCATATAGACAGCTCTCTAGTTCACTGCCCCTCCCCCCTTGTTGACCTGATATCTAGTGAACCTTTCCCTGTGTCAAAATCATTTTTAGAAAACATGATCTTTTAAAGTTGTAATCTATTCCATAGTGTGGCTATGATGCAATTTGTTCTACCATTTATCCATATTATCTATAGCATCATTTAGTGTGTCTCTATCTTTTTGCTATTATGAGGCATATGTGCATGTTTTTATCGACTTACACATTTTGCTCCTTGTTTGCCCACATATCTGATCATTACTTTAGGGTGTATTTCTAGAGAAATATACTGCCACACCCAATGGCAAGCTTGGCAATCTTTGTTGAATTTAAGCATCTCTGTAATTAAAGGCTTAATAAATCTGAAGAATTAGATCATTCGAATATATTTTCTTTGTTTATTGAACACCTTGTCTGCACCACACACTGAAATAGCACTCAGCAGCCAACGTGGCCATGATTCAGGGTTGGAGACCCCACCAGGAGGCACTTACCCCGCAGGCACAGCCTCGAGTCCCTGACTCCACACTCTACTCAGCTGTCTTACAAATGAGAATTCTTGGTGTCAGAATGTCTCTGAGACAGTGTGTCCTATGAGAGGATAGGCGGACTGAATGTGGGTCTTAGCTCCTGAAGAAACCAAGCAAGGCACCCAGAGTTGATCATGGTGGTTTGGGTGAAAATGAATGTACATTTTATTTTTTATGCTGGCTGTGCCTGACTGATCCTTTGGGATCAGTCTCCCTGGTCCTTGATGACCTGTGCTGGAAATGCTGCTTCAGGGAAACATCTGGAAGGGCAGATGAGACAGGAAATGGCCTCTTTTCATCTGCTGTGATGTGCTGTGTCTTTGCAGAAAGGAGAAGCTGATGCCATGAGCTTGGATGGAGGCTTCATCTACATAGCGGGCAAATGTGGTCTGGTGCCTGTCCTGGCAGAGAACTACAGTAAGTGGACGGGGCGCCTCTCAGTGTTTTATTTCCTCTGGGCCATGGAGAGAGGAGGTAGGAAAATCATAGCCTGATTCATACCACATCAGTCATAAAGCTCTTGCTTACTGAACACACCTTCCCAGACTCTAGGCTCCCTCATCTCTAATCCCCACAGTCATCCTGAAGAATAGATCTTCATCATACCTGATCTATCTATCATACCTTCCGCCACGAGAAATGGAGGCTTGGCACTGTGAAGTTCCAGCTAAAAGTGACCTCAATGCAGAGGGCAGCTGGGATTCTCAGCTGGGATTCCTGGCAGGTCTTCTTATGGCCAAAATGCACACTTCTCCTATTGCCCTGGTGCAGGGATTCAAATAAAGTTGGCAGGGATCACTGTGGCCATAGGACAGACAGAGCAGGAAACTTGAAATTCACAATTTTGGGCTAAATTCCAGAGGCCAGTGAGTTAAAGTGAACTTGCATAATCAATAGAGCCCGGACTTTTGGGGAATAGATGATATGCAGTTTTCCTGGCTTTTTTTTTTTTTAAAGATTTTTATTGGGGAATTGGGGGGATGGGAACAGTGCTGGGGAATTAGGGGAAGGGGAACAGACAAGTTTCTGTTGTTTTTTTCTTCAGTTTAGTTGTGGAGGACGTTGCTTCACTGGCCCAAACTGGCACTATCATTGCGCTCTTCCCGGGTGAGGCAGATCAGTCACCTGCTTCTGGACGGCCGCTCACTGCAGCTGCTGGCCGCTCACGCTGGCTGCTGGCTACATATGGTAGCCCATGGCAACCCACTGCCACAGGGGCTGCAGCCTACACCGTCACCGGCGACTCATGGCAGCCCAGCTCCAGGTTGAGCTGTTGTTCAGCATCTTAGCTGTAGAGGGCAGTGTCACTGGTCCTCATATGTGGGATCCGAACCGGGGCCCTCTGGCATCCCAAGCCAGTTCTTAACCATCGTGCCACTCGGCCGGCCCTTTCCTGACTTTTTAAGTCTGATCAGCAACATGGGAAAGGCATGATTTTTAACCTATAAATGAGTATTTAATGACTTCTTCATTTTGTCTTCTCCAGAAATTGACCCTGATTGTACAAATACACCAGAGAAAGGTGAGTTGGGATTGGTAACCTCATAAGATACATTCCCATTGCTTTTGGACAAGAGAAAGGTAAGTTTAAATTCAAATCAAAAGTAGATAAAGCCATGGAAGAGATCAATTTTTAGAATGAAAAAGAATCATGGAAAGATATTAATGATGATAATGACGGTTATTCCTTTACACTTGCCATGCCTTGTCCAAAGGATTTCTCATTTAATCCTATAAGGTAGGTCTTATCATCCTCTAAGGATGCGTAAGAGGACCAATGGCTGAGAGACTTTACAAGTTGTCTAGGCTTCTATACCCAGCAAGCAAATCCACACCCTCCCCACCACTCCCGACTGCCTCGCATTAACATTAGGCCTGCAGTTTTGGGTGAGAATTAGCACCAGCCAAGGAGCCTTGCGTATTTGTGCAGGGCTGAGGAGAGAGGCTCCCACAGATGTGAGGAGCATGAAGCTACACAGCCTCCCAGCCAGGGCTGGGCTCAGGAACCCACGCCAACCTGACTCTTGCCCAGGGTTCCGGCTGGGGTGGATCTGGAAAGATGGGGTGGGAGCAAGTTGGGAAGTCTTACACCTTGGTGAGTACTGGGCCCCAGAGCCCCTATGCTCAGGCTTCTCCAGCTCATTTTCCAGTCACTAGTGTACAAGTCTTGCCCTGATTACAACCTCCCAGCCTTTCCCCATCACTCTAGGAGCCAAGCTCAGTAGCAGAATAGAGAAAGGCCTATCCTTATTCTATGGATAATATGACTTCTCTGTTTTCTATTGCAAACAGTTCACTGAGTTAATTAAATTAGAAAGTTGAAATCATGGGTTGATATTCCATTCCCAATTTTAAGGATCAGCAACTATTTACTGCTAAAGATGACAGATGACATGTTGACAGTTTCCATATTTCCACATTTATTTTGGTGCAAACCCCTATTCTCCTTATCACAAAATATCCGGCCAGAATATTCCCTGCAATTTATTAGACATTTATCACTCTTTCCTAATAATTGTTACTGTATAAAATGTTGGAGTGACATGTACTCTTCAGTATCCATTCCTTTGTAATTCCACAGTAGAGGGTGAGTTGCTGGTTTATAACTTCAATAACTTGATGCGTTTGGGAAGGGTCAGACACCAGCCATTACACTGAAGATAGTGTATTCTTACTATTTTGTTTTTTCAGTTCAGATTAATCTCCACCTGACAGAGTGACTTGTACTTTATCTCATTCAATTATTGGGAAAGGCCTTTTCAAAGACAGAAGGAATGATTCATAATAATTTTGTTTCCATAGGGAGATGCAGACGGACACTCTGGAGGGCCTAGAAGTGTTAATATATCCTTTTTTGGTGTTTTCCCTGTAGGGTACTTTGCTGTGGCTGTGGCTAAGAAATCAAATGAAGACATCAACTGGAACTCTCTGATGGGCAAGAAGTCCTGTCACACCGGAGTAGACAGAACTGCTGGTTGGAACATCCCCATGGGCCTGCTCTACAACAGGATCAACCACTGTCAATTCGGTAAGCAGATCTGGGAGGGCACTGCGGTCCACGCCAGCCAGAAAGAGCGGTACTGGGAAGAGAGTGGTATGGTGCAAAATGCTATGGCCCTGGTTCTACGGTAGTTAAAACTTGGTTAAAGTGAACCTCAAGGAAATACCTAAAAGTGATGGTAGTGCTGGAGAGCTGAATCAGAATGTTCTTTTCAGTTGCATATGAAAGCTTACTTACTCTTCTCTGTCCTGAAAAAGATGAGAGGTGAGCAGTCCATGCTTATATGGTCATTAGAAACCCAGGCTCTTCTGTTTATGCTCCACCATTCTGAGCATGAGGCCCTCCATGTTCAAGGTCACCCATGGTTGCCATCACGTCCATAATCCAGGAAGCCTCAAGGAGCAAGGAGTAAGAGCAACTTAAACATATGAGCCACCTGCTGTTAACTTATTAAAGAAGCCATCCAGGAAATCTAACCCGATTACTTTAAGTAGCTTCTCACTGCTCAAAACTTAGGCACATAGTCACACTTAGCAGTACAAGAGGCTGGAAAATGTCATCTTTTATTTGGGCATGTTTCTGCCCAAATAAAACTGGATCTTTATTTTAAAAATTAGAAATAGAACCACCATATAATCTAGCAATTCCACTTCAATTTATCCAAAGAAAACAAAAACACTAACTTAACTGAAGAAGATGTATGCACCTTTATATTCATTGCAGCATTATTTACAATAGCCAACACATGGAAACAACCTAAGTGTCCATCGATGAATGAATGGATAAAAGAAAATGTGAGATACACACACACACACGAATATTATTCAGCCATAAAAAAAGGAAATCTTGCCATTTGCAACAACATGGGTGGATCTTCTTGAGGGCATTATGCCAAGTGAAATAAGTCAGACAGAGAAAGACAAATACATATTGTATACATATAATCTCACTTATATGTGGAATCTCAAAACACACAGAAACACACACACACACAGCTCATTGGTACAGAGAATACATTGGTGGTTGCCAGAAGTCAGGGGTGGGGTTGGGCAACATGAAATGAATGGAGTCAAAAGGTACAAGCTTCCAATTATAAAATAAATAAGACATGAGGATGTAATTTACAGCATGGTGACTATAGTTAATAATGCTGTGCTGCATATCTGAAAGTTGCTAAGAGAGATCTTAAAGTTCTCATCACAAGAAAGAAATTTTTATGACTGTATGGTGACAGATGTTAACTAGACTTACTATGGTGATCATTTCACAATATATTTGCAATTATTATGTTGTACACCTGAAACTAATATAATGTTATATGTCAATTATATATCAATAAAAATAATTAATGGAGAAAAAAATTTTTTAATTAGATCTTTGTTATCAAGGAACAGGGGAAAATGGCTACTGGGTCAACTGCTACAATCCCTGCCACAGGGCTTTCTAGGCCATGTGAGTGTGCAGGAGCCTCAGGTCTCTTTAAGGTCTTGGTAGCCTCACTGAGTGATGCCCAGTTCCTAGGCCCCTTCCAAGGAGCGGAAATCAGTATATTCTCAAAGGTCCTCTGAATATCTTCAGGTATGAGCTTAGTTATACACTCCAAAAACCTATGTGTAAGTTCACTGCAGACAAATGTTTTTTATACATTATTTACATTAACTTCTTTTTTTAATTTTTTTTTATTGGGGAATGGGAACAGCACTGGGGAATTGGGGGAAGGGGAACAGATAAGTTGCTGTCCTTTTGTTCTTCAGTCTAGTTGTGGAGGATGTTGCTTCACTGGCCCAAGTTGGCACCATCATTGCACTCTTCCCGGGCGAGGCACATCAGTCGCTGGCTTCTGGATAGCCGCTCACTGCGGCTGCTGGCCGCTCACGCTGGCTGCTGGCCACACATGGTAGCCCGTGGCAACCCACTGCAGCAGGGGCTGCAGCCTACACTGTCACCAGTGACTCACGGCAGCCCAGCCCCAGGTTGAGCTATTGTTCAGCATCTTAGCTGCAGAAGGCAGTGTCACTGGCCCTCATATGTGGGTCCCAAGCCAGCTCTTAACCAATGCGCCACTCGGCTGGCCCTACATTAACTTCTTGAGTATGTCCTCCATGCCACCTCCAAATACGTGCAACTGGTTTAAAAGGAGAGGCCTCTAAAAACAGGTAGGAACCTGACGAGTCCAGTGTGTGTGGACTGGAGATGAGATCACACTTCTGCACCAGGTCATTTTATGACACCAATTTGACAGGAAGCAAAGAGTGGCTGGGGTGCCATTTGGAAGTTCTGGCTCCCAACTAGTGAGGGTACCACATTGGCTCTCCTGAGTCTCCTGACAGTTTCACAGCCACAAAAGAGCACCTGAGCGGTGACTAAAATTCCCCAGCCCTTTTCTGAGCTTGGAGCTCTAAGTTCTATTGAAGCCTCTTCTAATAAATGGCAGAGGAAGGTTAAATCTGCAAATAGGTGGCACAAGCTCAGGGACTGACACCTTCCATTTCATCCCTTTCATGTCAACTTTTATGTCATTTCCATCTCTTCTCTCTTTAGATAAGTGATGACACTATCAGGGTGCCCATGGAATCCCCTCCACTTGAATTGTGGTGGTCACTAACTTCTCTTCCCAGTCTTAATTATGTTTCCTTTTAAAGTCTACGACCCGGCCAGTCCTGAGTTGTTGGCAGAATGAATGAGTAGGTTCTACCTATCTTGGGCCATACACACCTGTTATGTGTTAGATGAAACTGACTTCCTCCTGTCCTTCTGCACAGATAAAATTTTCAGTGAAGGCTGTGCCCCTGGATATGACCGAAGTTCCAGTCTCTGTGCTCTATGTGCTGGCTCGGCAAGTGGTCCAGGAAAGGAGTGTGAGCCCAACAACCATGAGAGATACTATGGCTACACGGGGGCTTTCAGGTAACTCTTACAACCTTGATATGAATAGAATAATACCCCCAGCTCTGTCAAGATTCCTTTTTAGGAACTAAGGTGAGATTCTTATGTTTCTAGCCTGTTAGTCCTACATGTGTCAGGGTGCCACCTTTAGCAACCATATGTACAGCCCTCTGTGAAGGGGCACCCAGGACACTGTCTCCAGATCTGGTTGTCATAGCAAAGATTGGCAGTATGGTGCAAATTAAAAGGTCTCAACCAAGGATGATTTGCCCCTCAGGGGACATTTGGCAGTGTCTGGAGATGCTTTTGATTATTAATGGGGCTGGAGTGGGTGGGGGAGGGTGCTACTGGCATCTAATTGGTAGAGGCTGCTAAACATCCTACATGCACAGGACAGCACCCTACAACAAAAAGTGATCTGGTTTAAAATGTCACGAGTGCCATCATGAGGGTTCCCTCATGAGGGTCTGGCTCACGCTCTTCCATGCACCTCTGGGGAACCTATAACCATATTCACCTGGAAATATACAGACGTAATGTACATGATTTCTACATTCCCAGCTACAATTCTTTTTCATGGAACGTTTTTGTCATTGTTTTAGAGACACCCATGAACCTTATGACCTTAATACTTTTTAACTATCTTTTCTGATTCAGGCCTGTGTTACTTAGTAGTTCAAGACTCCATCAACTGCACAATGATAGTAGTATTGTAACTGAACTTCTCAGTGGTGAAGGAAAAAACAAAGATTATCCCAATTTACCAGTTAGAACCACCTTGTGAGTTGGAAGACGTACAATTCACAGTCCACACATTTCTAATTTTTCAAAGTAGAGTGTGAGCAAGGAATCACCTAACTGTAAAACTACCCTCTAATATCTGTGTTGATGCTAGAAAAATGATGTAACTCTTTCTCTTGGAGAAACTGGCAGAATTTAAGATGTAGTGCATGGAACTGAGATTGTACAAAGCAAATTGGGAATTTCATTTTCTTTTTCTTTATTACTTACCTTAGTAATATGTAAGATTAGTGATAAGAGTAAATTAATGATAATCTATTATTAGTAATAAGAGGAGATTAGTGACAGAATGGGAGTCACAAGTGCCAATATTAGGTGACTAGCCCTAGATTCATAATATAGCCCTCCCGAATGACAGATGTGTCTCGCTGACTTCCTCTCTTCTCTTTCCTTGTCTGGCCTTCTGTAGGTGCCTGGTTGAGAAAGGAGACGTGGCCTTTGTGAAAGACCAGACTGTGATTCAGAACACTGAGGGTAGGTAAAATGTTACTGTCTATACCCTGAATTTTTGCCTTTGGTATGTGTGCTATTTTGCCCCTCTAGTCAGATTGTGTCTTGCAGAAGGCTGAGAACATAGTATTGAATAAATGCTTAAATTACTTAGTAGAACAGATGGGTTTGGAGAGAACAATGATGGATATTTCATTTGGAAGCTATTGAGTTGGAGGGACTGGTAAGAACGGAAAGGAGAAATGTTGGAAGGTGAGCGAAGACGTGTGCAATTACTAGTGGGGAAGAGGCAGGCAATTTGGAGTTTTCTATTAAAACTAAAAGTGTATATTTGGGGAGTGTAGGAAAAGAGGTATTTTAACTTCATATATAAATAAAATTTTATGATAGTGAACTCATGTATTAGTTGTTCAGTTAAATGAAGAAAATTAAGTGAAAATTAAATTAAGGAAAAGATTACAATGCTGCATGTTAGGAGAGAAGTAAAAACTGGGTAAACATATTTGAGAATTCTTTTGGAGGAAGGAGCTAAAACCCTGAGAATGTGTGAGGTTTTCTTCTTCAGAGGGAATACAGAGAAGGTGAGGCAAGAGGCTGAGAACAGGATACAGACCTGTACACACAGAGGAACGTGCACATTTTCATGTAGAACGAGTATGAGTGAGTGAAATTTCAAATATTATTGCAGCTTCCAAAAGGGCTTTGGGGCGGGGGAGTCTTTTGCTTGCTGGTACAAGAGGATATAGCACAGAGATTGTCAATCAGTTGAGGGTCACGTTCTTCCTATGCTGGAGCAAGAGGTCCAAATGCTTTGGAGTTTAGTAGAAATGAAGATCTTTCTGAACAGCGTCCACAGAATATAGTTCACGCCTCATGGCTGGTGGAGCAGGTTGGAAGGGGTGGTCACCAGCAATCCCTGGTAAGTCTCTTCCTGTCCACATCACTGTAACCCCAGCGTGTGTACTTCTGCTGGCCACTGGATCAAGGCCCTCCACACGCCAGTGGGGCGGTCACATCCCCCCCAGTGAGGGTGCTTTGACCAAAGAACCCCTGACCATTAGGCTAAGAATCTCTATCTCCAGGAAAGAACCCTGAAAGTTAGGTTAAAGAAAGAGCCCTTCTTCTATTTCCAGGAAACAACCCTGATGACTGGGCTAAGCATCTGAAGAAGGATGACTTTCAGCTGCTGTGTCTCGATGGCACCAGGCAGCCTGTGGGTAAGGCTGCGACTTGCCACCTAGCCCGAGCCCCAAATCATGCTGTGGTCTCAAGGGAAGATAAGGCAGCTTGTGTTCGTCAGACATTACGTGACCAGCAGGTATGACCAGCTGCCCCCCACCCCCGCTTTCTTTCTGTGTGGATGATTTTGGGGGAGTTCACTGCGAAGTGCAGCCCAGAAACTAGAATCAAGAGAGTATGGACTGAGGAATTGAGTCTCCCGGGTCTGGCTCTGCTTATGTCTCCTGGTCACTGGAGATTAGTCCCCACCTGATCTGCGTGTCCTCAGGTCCAAGCATCTGCCTTCCTGCTTGTCCTTGTGAACCTTGCTCTGTGGCACTCTCATTTTCCCGATGTCTGCATTTTTTCAAATGGAGGAGATTGATTCTGATTCCTTGATATGCATCATGAAATGCAGATCTGTATTTCTCTTGCTTAGAAGGCCAAGAACCATTCTGATATCCAGAAAAACCCAAGAACCCTACCCTCAAGGAGCTGATTCTCTGGGGAAAACAACCAACCCAGTCCAGCCTTGGTGGGGAGAAGGGCTGCTTCAGTATTCTAATCCTAAAGACTCCTCTACCCACAAACACCACCTTCCCCTCAGCGACAGCTTCCTGCCTATTGATTCACCATTAATTTTCTTTTTTAAAAATTAAGACAGCATATCTTTGTGAGTCCTCTCAAGGTAAATGATAATAATAATCAGGATTTAAAGACGATTTCCTAGGTACTAAGTGGAATGCTGAACTTTCTGTAATCATCATTTCTCTTATAACCTTAGGAAGCCTGAAGTAATCAAGCCTCTTGCCCAAGATTGGATGAAAGATGTAGTCAAACATGAACTTGTAACAACGACCTGTAGCTTCCCTCATTGGGTGGCTCACGTTTATTAATCTTCTTTGACAATAACACTTGGAAGGGACAGGTTTCTCTGTCCTCTCATTTCCTGGAAGCAGCCCCCAAGGCCATGGCCAAGGAAGAGGGAAAGAGAGATCAGAAGTCAGGAGTAGGGGAGGGACTTCTCAGAGGAGGTGGGACCAGAGGGACCCTACAGAGGACTTTGGGGCCTCATGAAAGCATGGAGCCAGCGCCAAACATGGGTGACTGACAGGTGCAGGAGGTGGAAAGATTCCCAAGGCATCCTCTTAGCTTCCCTTTCTTCCCAAAGCTGCTTCCCAGCTTTCAGCCTCCTCCATCCCATCCATGTGTTCCTAGCTGCTCACTGCCACAGGGGCTCATGCACTTTCTATCCATTTGACAGATGGCCTATGGAAAAAATGGAACTGTCTGCTTGGGCCACTTTTGTATGTTCCAATCTAAAACCAAGGACCTTCTGTTCAGGGATGACACAAAATGTTTGGCCGAACTTCAGGAAAGAACAACATATGACTCCTACTTAGGAGCAGAGTATGTCACGGCTGTGCGTAACCTGAAACAATGCTCAACTTCGAGTGAGTAAGAGGGACAGCATGGGGGAAACTGCAAAGCAAACACAGGCAGGGTTCTGGGTGGTGGGCACAAAACTAGAAGTGGGCTGTAGCCCTCAGGAGATGACCAATGGACAAGATGATAGAACAAGGAAACATCGTAACGCCAGCATGTATGAAAGGCTACTTGTATGGGCAGATGGTAAAGAGGACACAGGCTCAGGGCACTGAAGTGGTGAAATGCCTGTCTGGAGGTGCAGAATTCCATGTTATTACTAAGAAAAGGAAGAGGTTTGTGTGCCTATGCCCATTGCTCTTCACTAAACTCCTTTTTTATATAGAGCTGCATGGTCCAGTACGGTAGCCTCCAGCTACATATGGCTATTTAAATTTAAATAACTCAAGTGAAACCAAATGAAAACTTCAGTTCCTCAGTCACGCCAGCCACAATTCAAGTACTTAACAGCTACATGTGGCTCTGTATAGGTGAGCAAGGAGAACATTTCCATCGTCACAGAAAGTTGTTTAACACAGCACTGCTCTTTAGAGCTTGAACAATAAGTTCTGGTAACTATAAAGTTGCCCTACATGCTACTTATCTAGAACATCAATTTCCTAAGAGCTAAAATACAATAAAACACACCTTTGCGCTGTATCTATGTTGGACATCATTTAATCACTTGAAGTCCTTTGGAAGATAAGGGAGAATAACATGTGGTTATAGGGTGACTATTTAACTTTTGTGTGCATATGACTGAGCTGTGGCCCTTAAAAAGCTGATGCTCAGGCCCTGGGAATACTGAGTCAGCAGGTCTATGCCACAGTCAGGTTTTATGCATTTTAACAGCTGCCCCACATAATTCTGATGGAAGGAACGTGCTTGCCCACAGCCACTGTTGTGGGCACCCAGGTTACATTTTCCTAACCTATGTCCTCCAAGAGGGGAGATTTTCTGCTCCATCCCAACCCCTTCACAGAAGCTGGCACGTGCTGGGTGCTTAGTGCATCTTGCTAAGGTAGTTCTTCACCTGCCTAAAGAGGTTAGAGAGGACAGTCCTTCAGGCTCCTTTCAGCCACATGGACTCAGGTGTGGCAGTCCCTCCTATAAGACACAAGATGGGGATGATATAGGGCAGGGAAATCATGTCACCATCCATGGCATGGGGCACTGCCTAGGGTAGGCACAAAAGCTGTGCAGGCAAGTGGAGAGGCCACTGGGATAATGGCTGGCCCACCCACCAGGAGAGCAGGGCTATGGTCTGAATGCTTTTGTATCAGGCTTAACTGTTCATTGACTCAGCAGGAAATAAATATAGGTAGGTTTTGACTGTCCCACCTTTCTGCTCTGCCTCCACAGAACTCCTGGAAGCCTGCACTTTCCTCGGCATTTAAAATCCTAGAAGGGGTCCACCACCAGATGAAGATGGGAGCTCACGTGACCCACCAGCTTCCCCTGGTCTCGCTGGCCTGAGTGGTTTGGCTGCCTTCATAGTTTGATGTTACCACCTATGCAGGAAATAAAATAAAAATGATTGGTTTTATCTTTTAAAAATTTCATTCTTCCCTAAATGTTTGTCCTGGAAGGATTTCTTTTACACTCTCCAACTCAATACACGTGCAACTGAGTCCTTCCTTCAGAGCTCAAGATTCACCCGATCCTTCCCACAGCTTTGGTTGTGGTGCCAAGTCCCTCGTGGGAACAGTACAAGTAGGAACTCTTTTAAAAAAGGGTCTGCATGGTCATTATAATAGAATCAAGTTTGCATGGCTGTGTGTGTGCATGGCTGTGTGTGTGTGTGCATGTGTGCATGGCTGTGTGTGTGTGTGTGCATGGCTGTGTGTGTGCATGGCTGTGTGTGTGTGTGTGTGTGTGTGCGCGCATGGCTGTGTGTGTGCATGGCTGTGTGTATGTGTGCATGGCTATGTGTGTGTGCATGGCTATGGATGTGTGTGTGTGTGTGCGCGCGCGCGCATGTGCATGCATGGAAGGAGCAGGAAGGAGGATGCAGAGTGAGTTATTGAGATGGAGTGTTCAAGGGAGTACAGAAAAGGAATATAAAATATATATTTAAAAAATATTTTTAATGAATTTCATCGGGTCCTGATCCTAACTGGTTGGAAAAAAGAATCACTGGAGCATCTTGCGAAAAACCATCCTTTGACCCCGATTCCCACAGCAGTCATCGCCCTGTCTCCTCCCCTTCTAGGTCGAGCTCCTTCCTGGAAGGTGGTGGCTCACTCTTTCCATGCCTCGCTGATTATTAGTGGCTCGACATATAGACGTCAGTCTTCTGCTCCACTTATTTCCCTGCAGCTATGGTAGCTAAGGTTACCGCCCACCTGCCAACTGTGAAAAACAATTTTAGTTCGTTCATTCCTGCATCTATTGGCTACACTCGTTACAGCTGACCACTCACTCTTCCTTGGAACTCTCCCCAGCTTCTCTGTCACCGCAGCTCTCTGCTTTGGTTCCTACTCTCTGTGTATTTGTGGCCTTACTGTGGGCTCATCTTGCCAGCCCTGAAATTGTAGGAAAATCTTCCTGGGGTTCTTCTCTTGACCCAGGGCTCTTCTCACTTTCCAGACCCTCCCTAAGTAACGTGAATGACTCCTTGGCATCTCCGTCTATGTATTTCTGACCCCTGCCTCCAGCGTCCACACACTCATACCTCCTCCTCTCTATGCATCTATACTGTAGAGCTCTCACAGCAGCCAGAAGTCCAACAAATCAAAAACTGAGGTGGTCATCTTGCCCCTTCCCTCTCCTGCTTCCCTAATCCAACTGTTGTTTCCATATATTTCACATCAGCCAAAGTCATGGTCTTCTACCCTCAGAGGGGCCATAAAGCAATGAGTCAAATTTCAACTCACGTTTTTCCCTCACTTCATGTCCATTGTCAGCAAGTTCTGTTGATTTTGCCTTTTAAGTAACTTTCCAGTTTGCCCCTTTATTTCCTAACTCCTACCACAGCTGCAATTTACACTTAGGGCAGAGCCGCAGATAGGGGTTTCTGGACACAACAGTTCACATCTCTCTTAACTTGCTAGTGTCCAAGGAAACTGGGCCCTGGGTCCACTTTGCAGTCAAGGCCTGATGTTGACCTTTTTTACACAGGGCCCTACTTTGCTTTGAGCCTATCAACACTCTGCCTTATTTAATATTCACCTAAACTCCACCCTTATCGCAAATTCTGTAACTCTTTCTTTTCCTTTGTTTGGTGAGATGCTCCATGGGGTGTGGTCTGTCCTATTGCAGTGAATCAACAAACCTAATTTCGTGAACAATGTACCAAGCGCCTGCCACGAGCCAGACACTGCTCTAGGGACTGCAAATACAAGAGTGCATGCTATCGTCTCTTAAAATAATTTAGTGTGTTTTTATTTATCCCTTCCTCTCGACTGCCTTCTTATCAGTATATATGTACAGAGAAGTGTCTGAACTAATGTTCACCAGGTACGATAGGTATAAAAACTTGAGGCGATTTGTGGCTTTCTTCTTCGAGCTCTCATTATTGCTTGCGTTTTTAATAAAATCAGCATGTCTCATTTTAATTATTTTTTTAAGAACTCCTCTAAATATTTGTTTTCAAAGAGACAGAGTTAAAGAGATAAGCTAGAGTAAGGGCAATCACATGACTGTTGTCCCTGAGTCTGAGATAGGTCCCATTGTGCTTTGGAACTATTGGGAACAGGAGAGAAGGGAGAAACGGGTCTGGTGACTGAGATATTTTAATGAATGGAAAGGAAGGAAATATTGTCTCACTGCGTTTGTTTTGTTGTAGTTCTCCGTGCGCTATCTGAATCAAGGAGCGGAGTACTTTCAAGAAGCAGCAGTCTATCTGCATGTCGCTTCTTGGCATTCATCCCCGCAGAGTTCCTGGAAGCCTGCTATGTCCACAGGTGGAGGTGGGACAGGACAGGAAGCAGCTGACCCCATCCTCTCCTGCTCTCTTTCCTGAGAATGGCAGCACCACCTTCTAACTTGAGTGTGGAAGGTGTGCACATTTTTTCTGCCTTCATAATACCCAGGAAACAAATTGGAAAAAAGAAAAAAAAAAGACTGTGTCTTGTTAAACCCTTCTTTTATCATTCCCAAATTTCATCACCAAGGCGGCACTTTTTTATTTGCTCTGACCAAAAATCCTTACACAGGAGAGTTTACAGTATGTGTTCTCCATGTCTGGCCCTCCCTCCTTCTCTTCATTTTTAGTCCCTGACAGAGGAATCAATGGTTATTATAAAGGAGGGGTGTGTGTGTGGTGTGTGTGTGTGTACAAAGCAGGAGTTAGGACTGTATGAAAGAAAAGAAATAGAATGTGGTAAGATTACTGTCAGTTCTGATAGTTTTAATTGACAGTACTAATTTAAAATAAAGTAGCTAGTGTATTTACTTCAACCTCACATCCTAAACAACCTTCCTTAATTTGGAGTCCCTATTGCCTACATTTATCAACAATATGCCTGGAAAATGAATTGTACTGTGTCAGAGCATATA